ATCCCACACACCACGCGCACTCCACTTTACGAACACACATACACACAAAACAACACATATACGAAACGATAYAACACAAACAACACTACAACGCTCCTAGCCCCTTGGTAGCCGTCCCATAACTTTCCGATACGGAAAAATTGAATAGGCGTCTTGTGCGAGACTTAATATAAAACCGCGAGGACGCAGGTCTATCGCATATCGACTCGCAATGCAATTGTACGTAAGCAGTCGCAATAAAGGCGTACTACGTGGTACCCATTCTCACGCGGTCCCTGTTAATCGGGAGGGCCGCGTTCGACACTCAAGTGTCGGCTGACACGCGCCTTGAGGGTTGATCTCTCGACGCTGGACAACCGCCATGCGCAGTTGAAGACTACACTCTTTTCTGCACCCTGTGCAGAGGGGCTGAGTAGACAGCTTTAAGTTGTCGTGGCGGTCAAACATCAAGGGGTTTGACTTTGACGGCTGCCACGGACTACAACGTCCCACTATAAAAACTCCAAAGAGCAAAAGATAAGGAATAGGCCGAAGGTTCCCCACCTAATAAACAAAATCATAGCCCTGGGGTACCCTTCCTTTTTCGCGCGGCGTTGGCGGCCTATAACAATCTCAAACATTCGCCCATATGTGTCGGTCCCTTTATAAATCCCATAACYTTTTACACACCAGGRCGGTAARAAGTCGCGCGCGGGATTTTAATATAAAGCTGCGCAGCCGAGGGCCTACGTCATGCCAACCTGCAATGCASGCGTACGCATGCARTCGCRACGATGRCGTACTATGTAGTGCCCATAGTCAAGTGGTCCCTCGTGGATCCGAGTACCKCTTATGRCACTCAAGTGTCAGACTCRAAGTGTCGTGAGGGCCTAGCYCTTCACGAYATTACAYGRCTGAAGGAAYAGCCGTGTAGCCGSCGCGGCATCTYYGGCTCTCGGCCTGAGCGTCTCGGTAGGCAAATCAAATAGGCCYTGCACGAGGRAAAACCCCTCGCCTGCAGAGCCTAGGGYTTGGGGTGTCCTRGACAAGGACCTCGMATCCCGGCCCAGGACCAAACGTCCGACTAAGAAAAACCATCAAAAAGTAAGAAACAAAAATAGAAGGAGAGACCTCCCCTAAACCCCTCAGTCTCAGCTTCTGAGTAGGGCTTTAATATGGGGGCTCTTCAACCCATGCAAGCATTCATCCCAAAGTATACCCRTGTATACATATATAAGGGTTAAGTATGTGACGATYACTTCTCACGCTCTCACTGGGGTCTMTCACAATAATACGTATATATGTGACCGTAGGCAACCAAATCCAGAATCTGATTTACAGTACATACCTGCAATCACATCAACGAACCAAATCAACAGCCCACACACTACACGGAGTCAACCCCAACCACCTTCGACACTCATACCCCTCGCTTTAGCCATGCAATTCCCAAACCTCTTGTCCAACCAACCTTGATTAAATACTCAGTACCTTTGTTAAATGACCATTCAATAAAAGTCCGGGTGAAACCTTAATAAAACAATAAAATTCACTAGGGCTAAAGCCTTTTAGGTTGAGTGTGGAGGGTGAGTTGAAATTGAGTCGTAAACCGACGAATCGGCAACCGACCTATTATCAGTGATAACAGAAAGTGATCCTCAAAGCATCAAGCTGGATCTAGCCCTGAACTTGGTTCAAATGATCAAAAGGACCTGTAACACACGGCAGACCAATCCCCAAGCTAAGAACATAAGTGTATGGAGAATACAACTCTATAATACACTCTCACTCAAAATCTCCTAATAAGTTAAACCTAAGTCTACTTTTAAGTCAGTGCTTAAGCCAAAGGTAGACGAACTGCAGAATCACCCCTATTCAGGGCGGATCGCYTGAATCGTCACCTGTCAAAATATAATCGATCTCCTCCAAACTAAGAAAATTTCGGCAGCGCTTCCCGTAGGAATAGTGTCTGTTCAGAATTTATATAAGTCAAAATATGAAAAATATAAATAATTTCTAACTCTGGAACGCCAAATTTTGTCGAACTCTCTAAATTAGTAAAAACTTGAGCAGCACTTCCTTTAGAAAGGGAGACTTCCCAGATTTATACTAACTCAGATATAAAAACAGAAATAATCTATAACTCAGGAGAATAAAATTCTGTGTAACTTTCTGAATTAGTAGAAATTTGGGCATCACTCCCTTTAGAAAGGGAGACTTCCCAGATTTATACTAAGTCAGATATAAAAACAGAAATAATTCATAACTCTGGAGAATCAAATTCTGTCTAGCTTTCTGAATTAGTAGAAATTTTGGCAGCACTCTCCTTAGAAAGGGAGACTTCCCAGATTTATACTAAGTCAGATATGAACTCGAACAACAGCTCGAGCTTTGTAAAAATTTCGGCAGCACTCTCTCTAGAAAAGTGTTATTTCAAAATTTATACAAGACTAAGTTCAGATTTTGAAAATAACATTGACTTCCCACAGTTCAATTTTTGCCTCACTCCCTGTATTAACAAAAATTTGGGCAGCACTCCCTTTAAAAAAGGAGACTTACCAGATTTTAACTAAGCCAGACATATGGAAGAGACAAGTTGAACTCAGACAAGTCAAAAGTTGGCTAACTTCTTGGATTAGTAGAAATTTCAGCAGCGCTTCCCGTAGGAAAAGTAGCTTGCCAAGATTTATATAAAGCCAAGTATAAGAAAAAATATCAGAAAATGCAGGAATTGACCTTAGTCAAAAAAAGTTATTACAGAAAATGCAGGAATTGACACTAACTCCTATGGCTCTAGCACGTGGCGAGCAACTAAAGCAACTACCTATAAAAATAAAACCTAAACAAACTAGTCATCCTATCCAGTTATATGCAAAACAAACCACGAATGTAAGTACTCTCACCATCCCAAGTTCATTCCATATAGATAGTTCATGAATCTTCAAGTTCTTTAACCCTTATACCCATCTTACATAGGACGTCGTGCATTTCGAAAATTTTGCATTTCAAAATGAATTTCTTCGGAAATACTTCAAAATTTCATTTATTCCACAAAAAAATTGCATTTCCGTTTTTGAAATTCCAAAAAGTTTTTCTTGCAAATATTTTAATTACTTAAATAATTAAACCCCGAAAAAGAACCAAATCATTTTTTAAATGCGAATTCAACTTTCTTTTCGTTTAGAAAATTCTCGATTTTTTTTTTCAAATTTTATTTTATTTTTCTCGAATTTAACTTTTTTTTTTTCCAACATTTCTTTTCTTTTTTCAAAGTAATTCGGAAATTTCGATTTAAATTACTTTCATAACTATCAATTAAATTCGTTAAAAATTCAAAATAACCCACCAAAATATAACAATTTTTTGTAAAACTTTTTTTATTTATTCCAATTTTAATTTTTTCGTATTTTGTCACGAAAAATAGCCCGAAATATTTTATTGTCATTTAAATTTTTTTCTTATCGAAAATTTTTATAGTCATTTACTAATTTTTTCCTTTCCTCCCGCCAACCTCTCTCAAAGTTCCAATCTTTTTCCTCTTCTTCTATCTTCTTCCTATTCCCTCATCCCTACTCTCCCATCCCACCCAATTGGTCACATCATCTAGAATTCCTAATGCGTGTGACACGTATATTCTCTTTTTGTGTTTGTCTGACAATGCCGTTCATCCAGCTGTGAGGAACACCAAGCTAATTCGGTGGGATTAATCTTCGTTCTGTCTTCTGCCAACGCCACAAACGGAAAAAATTTCGTCCATTTTGTTCAAAAGTTACGTGAAATTCTTTATTTATATCAAATTCTTTAATAAATTAGTTTAAAATTTGACTTTATTTCATAAATTCGTAAAATAAAATTTAAAATTTACTAAATTTAATCCTTCTGACGTCCACTCTACTTCTACTTTATATCCCTCGTAAAATTTCAAAATTTCGCAATTCATTTTGAAATTCTTTTGATTTTTTTTTTTAATTCTTCTTAATTTTACAACATGTCGATGCAATTTATTAATTTATCTAAATAAATTTGAAATTCCTCCCAATTCAATTTCCTTGACCGTCATTCAAGTCTTTCTGCCATTTCATCGTAAATTCTTCAATTAGGAATTACCCTTCTATTTTTATTTCAAATCACCTATGAAATTATCTTAATTCCATAAATACGTTAAAGAATTGTCAATTTTAATTCAAAATCTTCCTTTGTACTTATCGCTACATGATTTATCATCTCCTTGAACTTTCAAAAATTTTGACGAATATTTTTGAACTTCCTTGAATTTTGCTTCAATTTTCTTTCAATTTCGAATTCACGACCAAATAATTTCGGAATTTTATTTTGACTTTGTAATTGTCTGATGCATGCTTTCCTTTATGCCCCACGCCATTCTGTGAAAATCTCCT